ATGAGTCTATGAGATCGCGATCGCCATCACAGCTTTTTTGTTGTTGTTGTTGTTGTTTGACTGCTTGGGGCGGCCAAAACCCTGGAGCCGGCCCTGAGCTGCCGGTTACATTCCAACCGCCTGGAGCTTCCCGCGCACCTCTCCCCTCCCCCTCCCGTGGCGGCTGCCTGGCGCGGTGTCATGGCTTCCTCCGAGTTTGCTCGGCAGCTGGTGAGTCCCACCCCGAGGCGTGTGAAACTTTCTCACCCCTTCTCCCCCCACCCCGACTGCATCCTAAAAACTTCCTCGGCCAGGCTGCACTGCACCCGGCCCCCGCCCCCCGGACCAAGCCCCTCCGAGGGGGGGTGCAGCATGGCCGCAGCGCAGCGTGGCCGGAGGAGCCGAGGGGTGGGGCGCAGCGCGGCCGAAGGAGCCAGCCAAGGGGGTGGCGCGGAGCAGCCAGAGGAGGAGCCAAAGGGGGGTGTGGCCAGAGGAGGAGCCAAGGGGGGCGCCTTTTTTATGTTTGCTCCCCCTGCACCTAGAACCTGGCTATGCCACTGCACACCAACTCACAGTGGCACCAGACCCTGCCAGAACAACCAATGCAAAACCTGCAGACACATCTCCACTGCTACAATGATCAACACACCTTTCAAGATCCATGGGTCCTACACATGCCAATCGCACCACATGGTTTACTGCATCCAGTGCACTAAATGCCCCAATAACAACTATGTGGGTGAAACCAGAGAATCACTATGCTCACAAATGAACAGGAAAATGATAAGATAAGGCCACCACATCATCTGTGGGTGAGCACTTCCCACAGAGCAATCACTCTTGTATGTGATCTATCAGCCCTTGCCCTCAAAGGAAACCTGCATAACACTTTCAAAAAGACAGGCCTGGGAGTTTAAATTCATAACTTTGCTAGACACTAAAAATCCTGGACTGAATAAAGATACTGGGTTTATGGTTTATTTACAACAATCTGTAAACCACTAACAACCTCCCTCAACTGCTTTCCCCTCCGCCCCTTTACTTTCTTCCCTGTGACTGGAGGAGTGTTAACAGGCCACTTCACTTTGAATGGTCCCTTGAAATGTGTTAACTACGCTAAACAATCTATTTCACCTAATACTTAGCAAGCAGTGAAACTCTGAGGTTTTGTTTACACTGGAACTTGTCTTTCAGGGGTGTTAAAAAACAAACAACAACAATAGCACACACACACACACACACACACACACTCCTTTTAGTGGCAGGGCTGTAGTAGATTTTTCACATCCCTGAGCGACACAGTTATACCAATATAAGTCTGTAGTGTACACCTGGCCTTACTCTTGTTTACTTTTGCTAATGTGACTCACACGAAATACACTGTTGGCACTAACCATTTATT